TATATATATTGTATTTTAGGGAAGGGTCTATAGGGTGTTCAGGGTCTCACTACTAGATGAGACTTGTAGTGATCCATCTGTTTGCAGCCTCCCAAGAGCTGGGATTACAGGCACATGCCACCATGCCCAGTCTCCATTGCCATGTCATTGTACCCTTGAGGCAAGGCCAGCATGGCAGGCCCAGGGAATGAATCCCTGGCCTGTGTGACTGCTTGCAGGTGCTTTAACCCGCTGAGTTATTTGGCTGGCCCATCACTATTTGGCTGGCCCTATTATATTTTATTGTGTGGATGGAATAATTCTTTAAGCTTGTCCCAAAACACTAACATTCTTTGTTTCTGAAAGATCAATTCTCCTAGTAAGGTTCTTAACTGAGTTTTTATTGCATGCATTAATCTGTGCTCTGACAGACTATTAAGCCTATGTTAGGGCCAATTCTAGGGGCAATGTACGCAGACTTGTATTGCATTTTTTTTTCTTCGTTCTTGAGTTGAACAGTCAGGAACACATCTTCACCCTCCCTTGAAGAACCACGCCTAGCTGGCACAGATCTACTGGATGGAGGTTTTTAACTCTTCTATTCTTTAAGTTGAAATATTCACCAAGATTCAAGTGGGTCTAGGTTATGGGTGGAACAAGGTGTAACTTTAAAAAAAAATTGAACAGATAGTGTGTCTTAGTTACTAAAGCTCAGTTACTCAGCTTTAGCATCTATCCAATGGGTGTGAAAGATCAGTCTCTAGCTAAAATACCAGAGAAAACATATAACAAAAATTACAATAAATAAAAGCAAACTGGCTAAAACAGAAATACAGCAAAATTAGTGAAAAACTGCAGTATTCTCTACTCTAAAGAACATTTTGGCTATTCTTTTTAGATTATGTTACACAGTATAATAACTGTCATTATTCTTTATTTTGTAATAATAAACTGAAAAGGTAAAGAACACTTTAAAAGGTTAAGAGGAAAAAGAAGACCAAAAAATGAGAAGATTCCAAAAGAGAAAAGAAAACAAGTAAAAACAAGTAGAAATTGAAAGCAATTTTTTGAAAAAGAAGTTCTTAAAATATTTGAATATTAACAGTGAAAAGAAACATTTAAAAATATGTGGGTACAAGATAGCTAAGATAATTGTACTACTATTTGCTATTGTTTTTATTTTTGTATTTTTTGACAGAACCAGGGATTGAACTTAGGCCCTTGCGCTTGCCAGGAAAGCACTTATTCTACTAGCTATCTCCCCCATCCCTCTATTGGTTTATTGAAAGGAACAATTCACACTTATTTATTTTTTGATGAATTTTATATGTTTATTTCTGGTAATCTGAGCAACTACTCTGAAGACAACAGTATGTAAAAAACAGCCATTGTTGAGTTCCTACCATATTGTTTTGAAATCCTGTACTGTTTATATTTTATTAATTTTTTAATCTCTTTAAAAGAAGAAAAGGTGTACATATGAATCAAACAACAAATATCAGAAGAGGGGGTCTTAATAAAATAAATGAGTGCTGTCTGCAAAAGCTGAGGATCATTCACCCCTTCCTTCTTACTTTTGTGTTGCTTACCTAGATTGGGAATAATTTGGGAATAAAGCTAGCTGCAATAGCTGACAGCTATTCTGTTCACTAGACCTTCTGGCAGTAATTCACTCCAGAACAATACATTCCCGGGCTGGGCTGACAGTGGAACACGTGTAGGTCTCCAGCTCCCTCTTCGAAGCCTATCCAGAGGGTACGGGCAGCTAGCGATCTGCAGTGGGAGGAGCCACGTAACCTCCCACCCACTAGTCTGGTCTTCCGAGGCCCAGCTAGCTCCTGTGTACTCATGCTTGTCGCCTCATTTTCTGGATATCTGAAGCTAACTAGACAGAGCCACTAGTCTAAACAGGGAATTAAACTGCACATCTTTCCAGGTCACCAGCCAACTGTCACTGCTTGGTGTGTTGTACCAGGTTTGCTTCAGTGGCCCCCAAGGGTACAACTGATTCTCAAGGTAGGAAGGCAAGGAGATAATACAGTACTGTATTTTGGATGTTCCCAAGAGGCATTTTGTTTTCCAAATGAGCAAGCTAAGACCGGAGCTTCTCAGAATGGCTCCTATTACAGCACTCCAGGTACAGCTGGGGACAGGGAGAGCTTTTCCAGCCTAAGCGCACTATGAGGATTTCACACTACTCTCTTATTTGTGAGCTCTTAGCTGCTGGCATCAATTCCCAACGTCTATTATGCAAGAAGAAAGTGTTAATTTTTCTCATGGTTTCAGAGACAGAAACGTAACGGTAGAAGGTCGTAGGTAAGCACTTTCCTACCTTCACTTACCTTCCAATTCACCATTTCAAAATACTTTACTTTTAAATAATAAACATGTATTAAGTACACCTTCAGTAATTTTACTGCACAAATAGTGAATAGCTAGATGGATACATACATTTTATTCAGTTCTTAAAAAAAATATTAAATGTCTTTTTCTATCCTGCAGCATCTCTCTGCTTAAATATTTAATAATAAATCTTTATTGATTTTAGTACTGTTTGAATACTATTATTTGTAATAGCATTTTAAATTCCAAAATTACTTGTGCTTATTTTTATTGATTAAACTAATATTATTTTATATTTTAGGTTAGTTGGATGGTTTGGTCATGAACTCAGCACTAGATTTCAAATGGATAATAGTAAGTATATTTAATTTCATTTAAGTATTATTGTAGGGGCTGAGGAGATAGCTCAGTAGAATAAGTGCTTTCCTGGCAAGCACAAGGGCCTGAGTTCAATCCCCGGTTCTGCAAAATAAATAAATAAATAAATAAATAAATAAATAAATAAATAAATATTATTGTATTTTAATTTTCATGCTTTTGGTATATGTCTTCTGAAGCATGCACTTTGAAAATATCACTGAGGGTTTTTAAAATAAGCAATGATATTTTCAATAAAACTATTTATAGATTTTAGCATGATATTGCATCAATTCCTCTGTACAGAGATAAAAGGAAATAAAATCTAATGCATGGCTTATGTAGAAGAGTCACATGCCATCAACATGATGTCCAAAAAAAAAAACCAGGACTGAATTTGTCACTTGAGGCCAGACCCTGCGAGACTGGGATATCAATGCAAATTGCTGCTGGATACTCTGTGACACCGGAAATCAAAATAAATGTTCTGGGGCCATAGCTTTTGTTATTCCACATGACTTCTGTGAATAACAAAAATTTTAGGATTTGGATAATTGTATATCAAATTCAAAGCTATAAAACAAGCAGCACAGAGCAATACTTTAAACCCTAGTAGGTAAAAAATGAAACTTTGCCATGCAGAAGTTATTATTTTTTTTAATTTTTTTTTTTTTTTTTTTTGCGGAACCGGGGATTGAACTCAGGTCCTTGCGCTTGCCAGGGAAGCGCTTATTCCACTGAGCCATCTCCCCAGCCCCGAATATTGCCACTCACCTGGCAGGCAA